ATTCAACGGTCCTTTGCGCTGAATGATTTCTCCGCTGGTCCATTTCTCCTTCCCGCGGTAATCTCTAACGCCCACGTGCTGTCCAGTGTTAAATTCTCTCAATTTTTCTGCTTTGGTAGTGATAGCAGTTTTCATTTGTTTATCATTTACAGTTCGTCCCAGGTCAGGTTTGATGAGGTCAAAACGGCATCTAAGGTTTCTTCCCATGAATAACATCGCTGGCGTTTCATTTGTTGTGGCGTGAGGTGTGTAACGGTATGTAAGAAGAAAATTTGCTAACTTCTTATGAATGTCCGCATTTTCTTTATCCATGGCTTTCATTCCTTGTTTAAAGGTTTGAACAAAACGTTCCGCCAGACCATTTGTTGCAGGATGATAGGGTGCTGATCGGATATGGTTTATTCCGTTTAGTTTCATAAATTTTTGAAATTCTTCAGACACAAATTGTGGGCCATTGTCGGAAACAAGCTGCTCCGGTAATCCGTTTCTTGCAAAGATATTACGCAAAGTAATATATAATCGTTTTGGTTGACGTGGTTGTCTGCATAGGAATAACTTCTGGCCATTTTGAATGTGCGTCCACGACAATAAGAAACATGTGTCCTAAAAATGGTCCTGCCAAATCAATGTGGATACGTTTCCACGGCGCTGACAGCCATTCCCATGGATGTAAAGGTGCGGTTTTCGGATTATGGCGTTGTTTCTGGCATCCAGCACAACCTTTCCCAGATAGCAAGACTATGTTGGGCCAACATTGGCAAAAGGTTGTATGGTTGGCGTTGGGGAAACAACGTTGGGCCAACGTTGGACCAATGTCACCATGCCAACCTTCTCGACCATGACAGAATTCCTATGTTGGCCCAACGTTGGTCCAACGTTAGCATCTTCCACTCACTTTACTTCCCAAGGAAGGATCGGGTGTTAATGTTGGCCCAACGTTGGCCCGATGTTTGTAATGCACCCGTAAAGAAAGTGTCTTTTAAAGTTGGTAGTAGTATGTTGACCCAACGTTGGCCCGATGTTTGTAATACACCCTAAAAGAGAATGTCTTATCAAGTTGGTAGTAGCATGTTGGCCCAACGTTGGCCCGATGTTTGTAATACACCCTTAAAGAAAGTGTCTTCTAAAGTTGGTAGTAGTATGTTGGCCCAACGTTGGCCCGATGTTTGTAATACACCCTTAAAGAAAGTGTCTTCTAAAGTTGGTAGTAGTATGTTGGCCCAACGTTGGCCCGATGTTTGTAATACACCCTTAAAGAAAGTGTCTTTTAAAGTTGGTAGTAGTACCGTAAATCTGGAAATTTTTACTGTAGATAAATTTTTAGCAAATTTGCGCGTGCATTGAATTCGCAAAAATATTTTTCTTAAAAATAAATCAACATGCGAAGAATTTTTTTCTGAGAGCTCGTGTCTTTTTTTAACTCAGTGAATAGGTGTCGGTAAGCACTGGTCATTTTTAAAAGAAACCTGCATGTTTACACTAGTCTACTATAACTACAAGTTAATTATCCGTGCGTAAATTGCCCTCATTATATGCAATATCGTCCTATGATTTGACTAGCACTGAGGCGGTATGCCCCTTTTTAATTATTTTAATCGATTAATTTGCCAATAAAGAGAGAACTGTCATTTTATCTATTAACCGTGTATCAACACGGGCGATAACTCAAACTCAGTGCATTTATTAGAAAGTTCCAAAAGTAAACGCGGCGTGTAAATTTTAGGTGAGAAAAACCAAACGTTGAGAAAATTAGTTATATTTTTTCTTCATTTGGATTTTACTTTAGGTTAAAAGGCATACATAACCTCTAAAATGTTTGTTATAATTGACTTAGAAATTAATTTCAGTGCAAATCCTTTTTGTATTTTTATGAAAATTGTTTCAGAGCGATTTTGCAATATCTTGCCACGTTGTGAGTATATTGGTGGTATTCTAGCTGGGCATATTATTTGAAACATAACCTGATATGTAAATCTTCAGTGATTTTTATTTTTAGCACCAGTGACAATTCGCAAAAATTTGAAGCGTAAAAATTAATCAACAGCTTTTTGACCCTATTTCGCAAAAATAAATCGACGTAAAAATTTCCAGATTTACGGTATGTTGGCCCAACGTTGGCCCGATGTTTGTAATACACCCTTAAAGAAAGTGTCTTTTAAAGTTGGTAGTAGTATGTTGGCCCAACGTGGGCCCAATGTTTGTTATACACCCATAAAAAGAATGCGTCTTTTCAATTTGATAGTAGTATGTTGGCCCGAGTGTTCTTTTGTTTAGGTGTTTCAAAGATTGGATGTTTATATTGGGCCAACCCTGGCCCGATTATTATACTGCCAACTAAAGATTGTGTCAATTTTAGCTGCTGAGCTGACATTCTATGTCTATGCTTTTAATTGGATGACTGTTTTTGTTTAAATCTGATATGATATATTCAACATTTTAAATTTTAACTTAAGTGATCACAGCACCAAAGAGTGTTTTATTTTAGTTTTTGAATTGTGCACATGCATGATTATTTATTAGAAATAAAACCTTTGAAATTATAATTTTTTTCATGAGCGTTGTATTCATGAGAATTTAGAGAAGTCTGAATAAGTTCTCAGGAATAGGATGTGAATGAAGCCCACATATACATAGATCAAAATGACACAGCTTTATAATTAAATTGAAACAAAAGTTAGGCGTTCGCTAACACGTGACCAAACTGTGGAGTTAGCCGTCAGATTCAATTGCTCACAGGTTGTGATAATGGAGGGCAAGCAAGAAGAAGTGAAATTTAAATTTGTGGATTATACACTTGCTATATAGCTGCATTTAGAAGCGATGTAAGTATACTTATTCTTATTTATTCAGGTTAACTGTTTAAATTGATTCGGAATTCTATCTTTTCATGTTTTTGCACACAAGCACTGTAAGTAAAGGTTAAATAACATCTTTGAAGTTGTTTCTATCTATCTAATTCTTAACTGTCTATTATAGACACGATTGTAACAAAGAAATTCAGTCAGAGACTGCAAGGAAAAGAAATGTGGTGGCGGTAAATAACAATGAAATCGAAGACCATGCGTAAAGAATTGTATAAAGTACAAGTCCGTATGACAAAGATCAAGATGAAGAAAACGGGAGGCGACGAAGGGACGGAAAAAGAGCGGGAATACAACAAAAGGACAGTAATAAAGGAAGTGACTCAAGTGAGCCCTGATTAAGAACTTTGAATTGATAAATTTTCATTATTTACCTCTATTGTCTATTCTAAAATTTATTTTGTAAATTATGATTGAATTGATTTATATAAAATATTATCACAGTGAATCCTTAGTAATGTCTTCATTGAACATGTCCATGTATGCATTATGAATGCAGATTGAATTGTGTATTAATTATTTTAAACAGTCATAAAAATAGGTTTATGTAAAGAATCACGTAACCAATTGCAAATGTTTATATGTAATAACTTCGTTGGCCCAACAATTTGCCATCTGACATTGTAAAAAAGGGTCAACATTGGGTCAACCTAACCAAACAGTTGTTAAGGTTGGCTGTTAGTTGGCATACACTTAAAACTACGTTGGCCCAACAATATGCCATCTGACATTTCAACATAGGGCCAACATTGGGCCAACCTAACCTAACAGTTGTAAAGGTTGGCTGTTAATTGGCATACACTTATAGCTACGTTGGCCCAACAATATGCCATCTGACATTTCAACAAAGGCCCAACGTTGGGCCAACCTAACGAACCAGTTTTTAAGGTTGGCTGTTAGTTGTCATACAATTATACCTACGTTGGCCCAACAATATGCCAACATGTTGGACCAACGTTGGGCCAATGAGCAAAATTACCGTGGGCCAACGTAAGGTTACCAACCGTGGGCCAACGTTGGAAAAAAAATTGGGCCAACGTTGGCCCAACTATGTCTTGCTATCTGGGTTTAACAAGCTTTTCGATTTCCGAATCGATTCTTGGCCACCAAACGTAGCTTCTCGTCAGAAGTTTCATTCGCACGATTCCAGGATGAGCTGAATGGAACATTTCAAGCACTCTTTTCCGAAATCGTTGTGGAATGATAACTCTGCATCCCCAGATGATGCAGCCTTGACTCACAGTCAATTCATTCTTTCTATTAAAGTACGCATTCAGGTTTGGATCCTCGTTTTCAGTCCAACCATTAACAATGCAGTCGTACACCTTTGACAAATATTTGTCTTTAGACGTTTCTCTTCTAATTTATTGGTGCGTAAGACATGATATTTGTTCCATTTAACTGAGTGTAAACATATCTGCTACATCAGTTAATTCCTCGGCCTCAAGTTCCTCCTTTTCTTGGGGAATTCTTGACAGTCCGTCTGCATTCGTGTGGCGCTTGGTATTGCGATATTCAATGTTGTACATGTACGTATATCCACTCAAAAATATTAGTATAGCATGTCTCTGCATTCGCGCTGCGGAGGTTACTGAAATTCCTTTACTAGGATTGAAAATTGACACTAACGGCTGATGATCGGTTATCAAGGTAAATTCGCGACCATACAGATAAGTGTGGAATTTCCTCACTCCAAAGACAATACCTACAGCTTCCTTGTCAATTTGACTGTAATTTCTCTCAGCTTTATTCAAAGTTCTTGAAGCGAACGCGATTGGGTGCTCCGTCCCGTCCTTCATCACGTGTGACAATACTGCCCCTAATCCGAAAGGTGACGCATCACACGCTAACCTGATTGGTAAATTTGGATCATAGTGACATAATACTTGATCAGAGGTTACCAACCTTTTTGCTTCCTCGAACGCTTCCTGACATTCTTTGGTCCACTGCCATTTGACATCCTTTTCCAGGAGTTTGTGCAACGGATGATAGATTCGGAAGGAATTTGTGATAGTAATTCACGAGCCCTAGAAATGCACGGAGTTGGGTGGTGTTGGTTGGCTCTGGGGTATCCAACACAGCTTTAATTTTATCCTTGGTCTTGTGTAATCCTTGTTTGTCAATTAAATGACCACAATACTAGTACTCGATTTGATCTTTGAAGAAGTGACACTTGGATTTATTCGCTCTCAAGTTATATTCCTCCAGTCTCTGTAGAACTTGACGTAAGTTTTCCAGATGTTCCGCATCATTCCTACCCGTAATAACCATATCATCCAGAATACACTGAACTCCATTTAATCCTTGCAATATTGTGTCAATAGTGCGCTGCCATATCGCAGGTGCTGACGCTACCCCGAATAGAAGTCGGTTGTAACGGTACAATCCTCGATGCGTGTTGATTGTAAGAAACTTCTTTGATTCCTCTTCTACTTCTAGTTGCAAATATGCATTCTTTAGATCAATCTTTGAGAATTTCTGTCCACCAGCTAACGAGGCGAATATGTCCTCGATGCGAGGCAAGGGGTATTGCTCTATTTCAAGTTGCGGATTTATCGTAACTTTGAAATCCCCACAAATTCGGATACCGGTATCACCTGATCTCTTAACTATCGGCACAATTGGCGTGGCCCATTCACTTGTCGGAACTTTTGTAACGATATTTTCACTTTCAAGTCGTTCTAACTCTTTTACAACTTTGGGTTTCAGCGCGTAAGCAAGCGATCTTGCTTTCACAAATACTGGTTTAGCGTTTTCCTCCATGATAAGGTTCGCCTTGACGGATCCGGTTTCCATTGTAAACACGGCACTGTGTTTATCAAGAATTTTCTCCAACTTCTGTGATAATTCGTTGTTATCAAATGTAACGTTGTTTAAGGAACTCCAATCCAATTTGATTTTTCGTAGCCATTCACGCCCGAAAAGTATCGCTTTTCCCTCGGAAACAACATACAGTTCTAATTTCTCTTGTTGATCTCTGTACACGACGTTTACGTCAGCTGCTCCAAGAGGTTTCAGTTTTTCTCCGGAGTAAGTTATTAAGGTTACACTTGTGTCCTTCAGTTTTCTGTTAGGAAACAGCTCTGTAAAAACCTTTTCGGGAACAATGGAGAGCGCAGAACCGGTGTCGACTTCCATATTAACCTTTTTTTCGTCAATACACACGTCCACCATAATTTCGTTCCTTTTCCCGGTATGCACAGAGTACAACCCTAAGTCACAGCAGCCGTCTTCATCCACTGCATGTACTTTCTTCGGGAAGAACTTATCCTTCGCACGACATGCCACCTTAATATGTCCTTTCTTCTTACATTTGTGACATGTTGCATCTTTGAATCTGCATTCTTCTGCTCTGTGGCCACTTTTGTTACATCGGTAACAATTCCCACTTTTCGGTTTTTCAAACCTTGCTTTCGATTTCTGGAATTTTAATTTGTTGACACCAGACTCGCGACTTTTTCCCTGCAATTCCAAGGCGTCTTTTGATGCAATTTCCATAGCGACCGCTATTTGGATTGCCTTATCCAGGGTGAGCCCCTGCACGGACAGTAATTTCTTCTCTGGGTTTGTTCATCTCGGAGTCCGCACACAAATCTGTCCCTTAGTGTGTTGTTTAGATCTTGAAAGTCACAATATTCAGAAAAGATTCCTGATTTGTGCGACATATTCATTAACACTTTCACCTTCTTTTTGCTCTCTTTTGTGGACCGCTATTACCAACGGTTTAGGTGATAGATGATCTTTAAGAACCTTAACAATTTCGTTAAAGCTCTTGTCCTTTGGTTTATCTGGTGTTGTGGGATTCCTCAGTAACGCATAAGTCTTTCCCCCAATTAAACTGAGGAGCGCAGGTACACGTTAGCCCCCTGTAATTCCATTAACTTCAAAATACTGTTCTAAACGTTCAGTATACGCTCTCCACGAATCAACAGTGTCAACAAACGCTTCTATCTTTCCAATATATCCAGCCATTGTAAAATCCTCGTCGCCAATTTTGTGTTGTTCTAAATGAGACTAGAAGGCATCTATGTCGATTAGCATTTTATTCTAGACTAAAGCATACAAACATATATACAGTGTATAAGCCTGAGCATGCAATTCGATATTCCTGGGATTGATAGCCAATTGCAATGTCCGAAACCATAATAAAGCTAATGTAAACAGTTCACTGGTTTGTTTATTAATGCACTTAAAATATCCAAACACAAAACAAGAATATCAGCAGTCTCGTTTAAAGTCATCATTTCGTAAGTTCTAAGGTCGATAGAATAATTTTGTCAGCAAATTAATACAATTTATCTTTGAGTCAAATGCTGACAGACGCGTTTCATACTAATTGTTATTCCATTATTAATACAATGAATTTACGACAATTGTTTTCCGTTATTTCCTGATCATGACAAGAAGCACACGGCTGGTGTGACCGGTCAGCAGAGGAATGCTCACTCCTCCATGGCACCTGTTCCTACCTCTGATGTTTCTAAGGACCGTGTTTGCTCTGCTCTTATTTTGTATTGTCTTATGGACTTTGATATTAGATACTGTTCGTTATCTCCATCTTTATACCCCCCGCTTGAAAAGCGGGAGGGTATAAAGTAATCGTTAATTCCGTCCGTCTGTACGTCTGTCCGTCCGTCTGTTACGCTTTGGGGTACCCTTCGTTTCTCTTATCCGCAACTCCTCTCATACCAATGAAGGAAATTTAATGAAACTTTCACAGAATCTTTATTACATATTGCCATTGTGCACCTCCTATTATACTTTTTGATCTGACATATATTTTGAATTTTCCAGAGCAAAACATGGATACTGCCATTATATTTATTTGGGAGGCGGGGGTATTATTTAGTGAGCTCATTGCTCACAGTACCTCTAGTTTTAATTTGTTTTTCTTTGATGTACTCTTACCCACATTTATCAAGGTGGGTAGGAAGGTAAGTCGATTTTTGTAAGGTGGAGGTTGGATTTTCCTTTTGGACAAGATTATTACTAATATTAAAATTCACAGACTCAGCCATTTATTGGTGTTTTTGTTACAATTAATACACTATGATAATAGCATACAGATTATTATTATATTTTTGTCAAAAAAAAATATTTCTATCAATTCATTTCATTTATTGACAACACCATCATACATTGGCATATAGTCATGAATACAACAATTAACATAAATAAAATAAAATATCAAAGAAAGCATATCAGGTTTGTTGAAGGTTTTCTTTCCTAATATCAAAGCACTTTTTCAAAAAGTTACAAACTCTCCTAGCAGTTCTAATACTTGTAGGATTGATAATGTCAATAATAGGGTTTTCCTTCATGTAACATTGTGCATTGAATATATCGTAATATTGTAATCTACATTGATTATATCTAGGACAATAAATTGGTAGGGATGATTTTGAAGGATCGGTTGGAGTATATTATGCAAACAATTCATTTTAATAGCCTTGAAATAGTTAATGCATATAATGAAATGTCTGGAAACCACCTGAGAAGTACTATACATGTACATGTACTTAAACCATTCAGAAGATATAACAAAGGTTTTAAGTTAACTATTTTTATTTCAAAGGGGATCAACTTCCTTTACACCCATTCTCAAATCTCAATATTAGGGCTCACATAATGTCGCCTCGTTTTCATTTAGAAGAAATGCCACTGATGTAATTTTTAAATCAACATTATAAATAGTCATATAACAATGAATAAGAATTCATATAATTATCGATCTGAAAGGGTATTTAAAGATTTCCAAATTCAAATATAGTAGTCTATTTGAAATGTACGTTACTGTCGCCGAGGCAAATATTATGCTGAATCCCCTCTGTGACTCATAGGCGTCGGAACCGGGGGGGGGGGGGCTGGGGGGGGGCTTAGCCCCTTCCCCACTTTTATTCCAAATTTATACTTAGTATAGACATTGAACATGTCTTCGTAAGTTTAGCCACCCCCCCCTCCCCCACTTTCCACAGATACGTCTTAGTATAGTTTAAAAATGTGGAAAGTCGTGTTGTTTGGAAGAAAATTTTTTTGGTACTGGAAATCGAACCTACCCCCCCCCCCCCCCCCCCCCAACGAAATAGGATTTTCGTGTTTTGGGAATAGACATTTCTTTTTTTCTTTTTTTTTTTTTTTTTTTTTTTTTTTTTTTGCTTGTCAGGTTTTTTTAAAGGTACAAAAAATTTTTTTTACACTTAGCCCCACTAAGTCAATTTGCTTCCGACGCCAATGTGTGTAATATATAGTTTTGATTCTCAAGTAAAAATTTTCTGATAAGTTAAACCTTGTATCATATATATTTCTTTTCATAACAATAAATACATTTTATTTGTGATAATAAATAATTTTCCTAATGTGCAATGTCCCTGTCGCTTAATTCTATTTCAACCACATTACAAGCAAACACAAAGATTATACACCTGATAGTTTTGTTCTCCTTTATTTATTGATGGGCTAAATTTGAAATTTCAAAGGATTAATTACTCCTACTTAGATAATGTAACATGAAATTGAAAGATTTGAGCAACTTTTATAAATATATTTACGGAACGAAAGACATTTTCAATCGTAGAGACAAGAAAGAAATACACGGTACGTTACCTATATTCTTCCATTAAGAATATATATTAAGTAGAAAATATGAGACGACTCTGAATAAGCAACCCCTTGTATCGTTTTGCTTAACACAATTAAAAATGATTTTTTACATGAAAAGTGATCATTTGAAATGTACGTGACTGAAATGTACGTTACCATGAAATTCGAATTAAGTGAATCTCGCAAGAATTTTCATGTATTCTCATACTTTCACACACTCGAATGTGTACACAAAGGAAAGTTTCAAAGGTTGGAGGTCGGCTATATCCCAAAATTAATGAAAAGAAAGTTTCTGCTGAGGAAAAAAAATATATTAAGGTCAATTATATGTAATATAATTTTGATACCTGATATATATTTCTGAATACGAAACCTGTATGATGCATTTCTTATGATATGCAGTTCAAATAGTATCAATATATTGCGTGTCTAACGTACGCTTGTGGAAGAGAATTGATTTTTATATTTGAAATGTACGTTACGTATGGTAACATACATTTTGCCTATTTCTAACTGACATTTTTTTTATTTAGTCAATGAATTGCGTTTACACGAGCGAAACAAAATTATCGTTACAATCCATTTGACAAGTGACCACATAAATCCATCTAAATGCACCCCCAATCCTCGTAAATGTGGTAGACTGTTACCACATGCTAGAAAATTTATTTATAAGTGTCTTAATTCATCTTTAGCAACCTTTTTGCAGTTTGTTTACTTTTAATATGCGACTTTTCGTCAATATTAATTTAATTGTTGTTGATAATTTAAAACAAGGTATGCATAGGCTTATAATTGGTAAAAAAAAACAAAAACAAAACAAAGCAAAAAAAGAAAAAGAAACAAAACAAATAAACCCAGAACATAAGACGGTCACGTACATTTCAAATACTGAAAGGCACACAATTCTCAGTTTTGTTTGAATCATTGCATTTTGGGTTATATTTTTTCCGAATCTGCTGAAAAGTACGTATGTTTGTGTTTTGACAAACGATGTTGCAACATACTAAATGAAATTGTTAACAAGACTGTCGATGGATATATTCGGAATAGATTTATGTTAAGTTTCAATGGCCAAACACAAGCATTTGTTAGATCATAGCAAAATACTTCTGACTCTTTTTTTTTTTTTTTTTTTTTTTTTTTGCACACAGGTAGAAGTAACTAGGCTACGACCGGTGTCAATTTCAGCGAAACAGCACAAAAGAATGGTAATGAACTGAGGTGGAGGGGACTCCACAATAATATGTGAAATGAACGTTACCGAAGTGACGTGACATTCATGTAGTTGATGACAAATAACCACGTTTGTTACATTATGATTTCTTATATTACTGCGTTAAAACGCTTCATTGAAATGATTTTTATGTCAATAATTGCTTTTTTTTCTCAATATTTTCTTATTACTAATTTACATATTATTACAAGCTTGAAATGTACGTTACCTACTCATATTCTGAAGCAATCGTGTCTTTATTAGTGGTGATTGTGACATGTAACACAATGTGATTACATAGAGAATCTTTTTGGAATAAACTAAAACAAAACGATGAATTTTAAGCTTTTTATTAAACAGAAATATGTCTTGAAATGTACGTTACATTTACGTAGTTTTCTAAATCGGCATGGATATATGTTTAAAAAGACAGTAACTACAAAAAAGAATTTTACTTCATGTACATGTTAAGTGCCAGTATCTATAGAAAATGACAAGATTCCAAACTGATCGCTCTAAACAAAACAGAGAGAAGAATTAAAAGCATATATTTAAAAAAAATGTTTTTATACATCTGGATCAAAAAGTATCTTTTGTTTTTTGAAAGGAAAAATCAAAAGCACGTTCGTATGCCGAGAAAATATGTTGCTGACAGAGTTGGTAGGATGTGCTGGTGTTAAGATGAGATATTCAAACTGTGATTTTAATGACTACATTTTTTTTTTTGACATATCTTTTTGGACATTGAAGAAAGACTAACGTACATTTTAAGCTACATTTCTGAATAAAATCACCCTCTACTTTACCGTCTTGTCATTATTCCATGTATTAAAATTTGATGAAAAAAAATCTTGAAACAAAATCTTCAGATACTTTTTTTCAAAGGTAATTGATAGAAAAATTGTTATCTTGAACTTCATTTTTTTAAAAAGTCAGAGAGGCTTTTGTGCCCTTATATTGAGAATTGGTGTTTAACTAAGGCCAAAAGGCACATAAATATATATAACCATGGAATGGTCTTGAATTCTATGGTCGATACAATGACCTTAATTGTCAGCAAATACAATTTATCATTAAGGTACTCCGATCGTCAGGAAGGAAAGAACTCCTACCAGCACCCAAGGAGGATGTATCACAGGGAATACAAACGTGACAGTGAAAATGTGAAATATTTATCTGTTGATGTAATGGATAAGGATTAGGTATATATTGTCGATTATCCTCGGAAAAAAATGAAATAGACGTTCAGCTTTTGAACAGCAGATTCACAGAGGCTTGCTCGATCCTGGCGTGTAAAAAAATATTAATTAAAAAAAAAAAACAAACAAACAAGCTGCAAAACAAACTACGTATAGTTTTATAGTATATCGTTAATGTTGTTTTTTTTTTAAATATATATTTTTTTCACACCAGGAGCAAGCCTCTGTGGGAGATTTTTATCGTGGATTCTATTTAATTATTTCTTTACCCACAAAATGTTTTAATTTTTACCGTAAATGCATTTAGATTCTTTTATACTAATTAAACTATATTCAATCAAGTTTCAATAAATTATTCAATCAATAATTGTTGTAACAATTAAGATGGGGAGTCACTTATCATAGGCGTCGGAACCGGGGGGGCTAGGGGGGCTTACCCCACCCCCCACTTTTTTTCCAAATATATACGTAGTATAGATATTGAACATATCTTCGTAAGTTTAGCCCCCCCCCCCACTTTTCACAGATACGTCTTAGTATAGGTTAAAATTGGGAAAAGTGTTGGTGTTTGGAAAAAAAATTTTGGTACTGGAGTTCGAACCTACCCCCCCCCCCCCCCAGGCTTGTCAGGTTTTTTTGGAGGTACAAAAAAAAATTTTTCTTACACTTAGCCCCCCCACTTTTTTGCTTCCGACGCCAATGCTTATTAATGGTTCTTTGCATCCCCCTCCCGGAAAAATGATCTTGTGTAGTGGATTACTATAACTGAAAAAAATAACAAAGAATCAGAACTTTTTGATGTGCAGAATGGAGAAGGATCTTAATATACCTTATTTTGACGCTTTATGAATTAATATTTCGCCCTTTCTGATTGCGCGAATGATTTTTTGAACGATCTGTCAAATTATTATCAAGGGTCGATAATCCAGAATTTAAAAATGGCGACTCGGTTCTTGCCGCATTCTACCTACAAATTAACGTTGAAAAGAATTTGGTAAGATGCTTATTCTTATTTGATATGAATTCTTGCTCAAGTAATGGCCATCTCTTGGTTACCTCCAAACTGACAAACACTGCTGATTGTCGTCTAAAATAGTTTCGTCCAATTGATTTGAAAAGGTCCAATACAATCTTGATTTAGCCTACGGTCAAATAGATATATACCGGTAGCTGTATTAATCTATTCAAAATAGCTTTATTTAGCTATTTATATTCAGTTTTTTCACAAAAACATTTTTGTAAAGAATAAACAAAAAGTTACATGTATTTTTACTTTAAACAGGTCCAGCACAATACCCAGATAAAGGTATATAGCTTGATAAAGCTGTATAGCTTTCTCAAGGTATTTAAAATACCTTGATCAAGGTATTTTATGTAATGAAAATTCCAAAAAATTCTTTAGAAATTAATTACTGAAAGTCGAGTTCTAAGTTGTAGCCAGTTAATTCACCCATGCATGTAAAGCACTCGAACACAAACAAATCAGTAATATGTTAGCGCGAGTGCAGTTATTTACTTTCAAAATCATTTACACAACTTTGACTTGCACTGCCTATCCTCAGTTCATTAAAAAAGAAGAAAAATCACTTTTCCAGGCATCGGGATCGAGATTCCAAACTTTTCAGAAGTTTCCGACAAAATCGGAAATACCCGAGCCGTTAAGTGACGAAAGTATGACGTCAAATAAAAAGTCCTGTTGAGTTAGAATGCAAACGATAGTTTTTTGGCATGGAGATTGCATTAAATCGTTGTTTGTAATTTTTTTCAAGTAAGTTGTTGCTATGTTTTAGCCACCATGTTGCTATGCACCGCAAAGGATTATTGGAATTTAAGAATGTTTTCACGTGGACTCATAATAATTTCTTGGAACAATGTGCAGATTTCATTCTGAATTTCCTCAGTTCGTACACATTAGTCTATTGAGCTCGGCCTCGCTGTGCTTGCTATAAAAACATGTCGTTTGAGGAGACGTTCATTGATGCTTTCTTTTTGATACCAGGGTGTTTTTCATGCTCGAGTAGACACACTGACAACAACTCAGAACTCGACTTTCAGTAATTAATTTTTAAAGATTTTCTTTGAATTTTCATCATGTTCATTACATCAAATACCTTGATCAAGGTATTTTAAATACCTGGATAAAGCTATATAGCTTTATCAAGCTATATACCTTTATCAGGGTATTGTGCTGGACCTGTTAAATACGTCAGTCCAGACAAACTCCAAACTCGGTGTAAACTCCAAAAAAGAAGTCTTTGGCTCCTTCATGCATTGCAGCAAAATGAAAATGATGTCCGATGTAAAAAAAAAAAAAAAAAAAAAAGAAAGAAAACGATGGATTGTCGTTTGCTTTCTCCAAATAGATCATGACACACAACGATTGTATTTAGTAAAATATTATATAACATCCTTGTAAAAAATGAAGGGCCAACAGTCTTCACCAAATTTTTTTTTCAGCACATGCCTTTTTCGGGCAGGTGTGATAACCAATTACACAAGCCCGAACAAATATTTACATGCCCAGAATTTTATCAAGTTATAGTATTATTCTTATTTGCCATTTCATGACAAGGAAATGATCTGAAATCCATTCTGTCAATTTATAGTCTCGCCATTTGTTTTCAACCTGTATACTTTTTGTGTCTCCTTTGCAGAAGAGTTCCTTGGAAATCGTGGTAAAATAAGATTTCAGTTAAATTTTATTTTGAACTTGACTTTAGATGGAAAATAAAAGACTTTAATGTACATTTAGTGTTATTGGTCTTATTTAATTTTATCATACCAAGGCTTACGCTTGTAAGTGTGCAAATTCCACGTGCCCGCTTCCAATTTTACCAGGTCCCGGGCATCGGACTCCTGGGATTTGTCGAAGACTGGGCCAAGGCCCTTTCCAAGGGGAGATAATCAAGAAAAGACAAAAATAGGATGGGGTCATTAAAAGATCTTCTTCTCAAGAACCACTGGGCCACACAAGCTGAAACTTATGTGGAAGTATCCTGGGGTAGACTAGTGTAGAACTTTGCATGGAGAGTTTATTCAGCCCCATGTTTTTTCATGGACTAAATAAATTCTCCATGCAAAGTTTTAAAGTTTAAGCATCTATATTGTAGGTACTGTAAAGCAAGGAGGAAATAAATTAAGGAATTAATTTTTACCGACAGTTTTGAATCTGCAATGTTATATTAATATCCAAACTCACTATTCTGCAAGAGCACAAGGTGACAAGAGGCCCATTGGTCACATCGCTCACCTGGGTAACTCAGGTGATACATTTCTTTACCCTCTTCTTATATATAATATGACCCCCTACTACCCCCCCTCCCTTTTGATTTCAATAATTTTAGAATCAAGATATATAAAAATTCCTTGATTCCTTGGCATGTATGATATTATATTTGTTCGGGCTTGTTTTATTGGAGGTTACACCTCCCTGAAGGGCATGTGCCCGAAAAAAAAGGATTTTTCGAAGACTGAAACAAAAATTAAATTGCCCCACCCCCCAAAAAACATAGCCTTGAATATGTTGATTCGGAATCAGATACTATAACTTGCACAGAAAGTCCGAAACAGCTGTCAAGTTTTCTGAATATCTTTATGTATTTGCTGTAAAAAAGTAAATAATTTGCATCTTTTTTTTTACTTTTCAGAATTTAAGCCTTTATAACAGGGTACCATGCCACCAATCATTGATTCCCACATGGGAATGCCTGGCGGGGCCCCAGGAGGGGGCACTATCCCCCTGGCGACTCTGATTGACTACATTGTACAGAGAACCTACCACGAGTTAACAGTGCTCTCAGAACTGTAAGTATTCCAATGATGAAGCAATATTGATAGATAATGAACAGTTTTAACTTTACCTGCATTTTGATAAATTTTTGCAGTGTACACAATATATAGCTACATCTTCAAAAAATTCTCTGTGTTCATTATACTTAAATTTGAAAGACTGTAAAGTTAATAAGACGACAATTGTTGAAATTCCTCATTTTAGCTGGGTGTCATGTTTTTTTGTGTGTAAAAAGTTGTTTATTATAAAAATAAGACAAGAGACCGATTACTATGTTATTTTATAGTAGTATGAAGTAAATTAAGAGATTGATTAATTTTTCTTCAGACTTCCCCGTAAGACTGACATGTTACTTACATATTATTTTATGGTAGTGTAAGGTAATTTACAGAATGGGTTATTCTAATTTTTCTTCAGTCTTCCCCGTAAGACAGACATGGAGAGGAAGGTGGAGATTGTCCAGTTTGCCAGTCGGACCAGACAGCTGTTTATACGGCTACTGGCTCTGGTCAAGTGGGCTAGCAGTGCCACTAAAGTGGACAAGTGCTCGGTAAGTACTGACCTCTGTCTTTATGTCAGCCGGACCAAACAGCTGTTTATACGACTACTGGCTCTGGTCAAGTGGGCTAGCAGTGCCACCAAAGTAGACAAGTGCTCGGTAAGTACTGATCTATGTCTTTATGTCAGCCGGACCAGACAGCTCTTTATATGGCTACCGGCTCTGGTCAAGTGGGCCAGCAGTGCCACCAAAGTAGACAAGTGCTCGGTAAGTACTGACCTATGTCTTTATGTCAGCCAGACCAGACAGCTCTTTATACGGCTACTGGCTCTAGTCAAGTGGGCTAGCAGCACCACCAAAGTTGACAAGTGCTTGGTAAGTACTGACCTATGTCTCTCTGTCAGCCGGACCAGACAGCTGTTTATATGGCTACTGGCTCTAATCAAGTGGGCTAGCAGTAGGGCTGTGTATTGAGCCAAAAATTTCGATACGATACAATATTTTTTAAAGCGATATGCTATATATTGGATTCTGAAACAAGTCCATCAGAAAAGGCTTTTAAATCATTTTAATGCATATGAACATTTCAAAACAAATAAGTGTTTTATTACCCATTTTAAAGTTCTTGTCTCATTGTCTTTAAAAATAACACTTCAATTAAAACTTTTGATGACAGTAAAATCAACATGTTCAAAAAAGATTTATCTTTGTATTTTGTAATAATTATAAAAACTGTGTTATTTCCTTAGAAATTATATTATTATTGAACATTGTTGAAGGTTTTAATTCAAAAAAGTAAAATATAATCTTTGGTGATTGAAATTCCCATTCTTGAAACAGAATTTGAAGAAAAAATGTCTGTCGGATATGTATTGGAAGTTACTTTTCGATACCAAATTTTTCTTGAATATCGATACGTATCGATATATTGATAAAGCCCTAGCTAGCAGTGCCACAAAAGTTGACAAGTGCTCGGTAAGTACTGACCTATGTCTCTATGTCAGCCGAACCAGACAGCTGTTTATACGGTTACTGGCTCTGGTCAAGTGGGCTAGCAGTGCTACAAAAGTGGACAAGTGCTCTGTAAGTACTGACCACAGCTACTGCAGTCCATTTGTACCGGTAAATCTTGTGTGGATATTAAACTCTTTCTGTAATGTTTTGTGTTTCATTTGATGTGAGAAAACAAGCAGTCTGTCTTGTATTTAATTTCACAACCTCATCTGTAACTGATAAACAAGGTTGCAACTTTTGAATTCCAGGAACTGCAAGATTCTTAAACATATACAATATATTTAATACTTCATGTACTTGATTCCATAAATCTATATTGTCGATATGCATTTGCTGTAAACTAGAATGGTTATAATATGGTTAACACTCCAAGGTGACATTTTACATACTAGACTAGTTTGAGCATCTGATTTACCAAGAGATCTGTAAAGTTTTATGAATTTCACTCGTTTAAGTCTGACTAATTTGGTATGTCTCGTTTTGTAGGAGATCTGTAATCTAGGTTGACTAATTTAAGTCTAATTTTGTAGGAGATCTGTAATCTAGGTTGACTAATTTAAGTCTAATTTTGTAGGAGATCTGTAATCTAGGTTGACTAATTTAAGTCTAATTTTGTAGGAGATCTGTAATCTAGGTTGACTAATTTAAGTCTAATTTTGTAGGAGATATGTAATCTAGGTTGACTAATTTAAGTCTAATTTTGTAGGAGATCTGTAATCTAGGTTGACTAATTTAAGTCTAATTTTGTAGGAGATCTGTAATCTAGGTTGACTAATTTAAGTCTAATTTTGTAGGATATCTGTAACCTAGGTTGACTAATTTAAGTCTGGTTTTGTAGTAGGGCTGGGACGATATATTGAAATATCGATATATCGTGATACATGTGAGGACGATACGCATATCGATACATATGAAGAAATATCGATATATCGCCCCCCAAAATCTTACTTCTATTTTTCTTTGTTTTTAGCTCACCTGAGCCGAAGGCTCAAGTGAGCTTTTCTGATCACATTTTGTCTGGCGTCCGTCTGTCTGTCTGTCCGTCTGTCCGTCTGTCTGTCTGTAAACTTTTCACATTTTCTTCTCAAGAACCCCTGGGCCAATTTCAACCAAACTTGCCACAAAGCATCCTTGGGTGAAGGGGATTCAAGTTTGTTCAAATGAAGGGCCACGCCCTCATTCAAGGGGAGATAATTGGGAATAAATGAAAATTTGGTGGTATGCTTTAAAAATCTTCTTCTTAAAGATGAAACTTATGGGGAAACATCATCAGGTAGTGTAGATTCAAGTTTGTTCAAATCATGACCCCCGGGGGTAGGGCGGGGCCAAAATGGCCGACCAAAGTTTTACATAGAAATATATAGGAAAATTCTTTAAAAATCTTCTTCTCAAGAATGACAAAGCCATAATTCATCATATTCATATGGAAACATCCTCAGGTAGTGTAGATTCAAGTTTGTTCAAATCATGACCCCCGGGGGTAGGGCGGGGCCAAAAGACCAAAGTTTTACATAGAAATATATAGGAAAATTCTTTAAAAATCTTCTTCTCAAGAATGACAAAGCCATAATTCATCATATTTATATGGAAGCATCCTCAGGTAGTGTAGATTCAAGTTTGTTCAAATCATGACCCCCGGGGGTAGGGTGGGGCCACAATGGCTGACCAAAGTTTTACATAGTAATATATAGGAAAATTCTCTAAAAATCTTCTTCTCAAGAATAGCCTAGCCATGATTGATCATATTTACATGGAAGCATCCTCAGGTAGTGTAGATTCAAGTTTGTTCAAATCATGACCCCCGGGGGTAGGGCGGGGCCACAATGGCCGACCAAAGTGTTACATAGAAATATATAGGAAAATTCTTTAAAATCTTCTTCTCAAGAATAGCCTAGCAATAATTGATCATATTTATATGGAAGCATCCTCAGGTAGTGTAGATTCAAGTTTGTTCAAATCATGACCCCTGGGGGTAGGGCGGGGCCACAATGGCCGATCAAAGTGTTACATAGAAATATATAGGAAAATTCTTTAAAAATCTTCTCATGAACAGCCAAGCCATAATTGATCATATTTATATGGAAGTATCCTCAGGTAGTGTAGATTCAAGTTTGTTCAAATCATGACCCCCGGGGGTAGGGCGTGGCCAAAATGGCTGACCAAAGTTTTACTTAGAAATATATATGAAAATTCTTTAAAAATCTTCTTCTCAAGAATACTGTGCCAGGAAAGATCATATTTATAGGGAAGCATCCTCAGGTAGTGTAAATTCAAGTTTGTTCATATCATGACCCCCGGGGGTAGGGCGGGGCCACAATGGCCGACCAAAGGTGCTCAGGTGAGCGATGTGGCCCATGGGCCTCTTATTTAACATTTGGGGTTTAATATATAAAATAAATAAGAGATATAGGAAATATAGATGTGAAATATTAAATAATAATTAACACCACTTGAGCAAAATATTTTTGTTTTACAACATATAAACAACTATTTTGAATAAATTATTCTTATTTGCAAAAAATAATTTGTTTATTTCAATGCAAAAACAGATTTTGTAAGCAATTAAACGTATCGTGATACATATCGTATCGTGGCTTAAATATCGTGATACGTATTGATATAGAAAAAGTTGTATCGTCCCAGCCCTATTTTGTAGGAGATCTGTAGTCTAGGTTGACTAATTTAAGTCTGGTTTTGTAGGAGATCTGTAGTTTCCTGGAAAACCAGTCCATGTGGTTTGTGGAGACGGCGGACATGTTGGCCAAAATGGCGCGAGAAACACTGGTCAATGCAAGGTCTGGTTCATTTTTATCACTTGAACAAATTATGAATCATTTTATGACTTGTCTATTATAAAATTGTAAAAGAACAAATTTTTAAAGTGGGATTGATTTGTATTTTAATTTAAAAAGGAAATCTTTGTTTGAAATAATATTAACTTTTGTGTGAATTTTAACTGCATTGATTTTTGCACCTGATGAATTTATTTAATCCTGTGACCAGTAACTTGATTTTTGTGTTTCTATAGGCTGCCCACGTTTTCCCTGCCCTGTGCCATTGATGTCCTGACCCTGGGGACGTATCCTAGACTCCCCTCCTGTATCCGGGTATGTGTCACACATTGTTTTCCCTTTATTTTAAAGTAAAGGGTTAGAGATCAATTGTAACAGGCCAGGGGCCGAGGTTTATACACAGAAACTCTGTGGACATTGCAACAAATTTTTATTTCAAAACGGCATTTTTGTCAATTGAAGCGGTCAATTTGGCCGGTAGCCGGTTCTTTGGGAAAACACTGGTCATACCCCCCATTGCCAAACACAAGTATTATATCAAAGAGACACAGATGATGATAATATTTCATTGAAGAAGTTGTACATCATGATTTGAATTGTCATCTAATACTGTCTTTTGGCTAATTATTTTCTTTCTGAATAATGTTTGTGTATGGAGCTTTTAGAAATTGAAAGATAGAGCTATCATGTTCGTACAATATCGTGTAGTTAACTTTCATTTTATTACATTTATTTAAGGTTTCTCAGTCTGTTTGAATTTATCTATATATCTGTTGTGTTACAGGATAAGATTGTCCCTCCAGATGCTATAACGTCAGCTGAGAAAAGACAGACTTTACAGAGATTGACACAAGTCATACAATACAGGCTAGTGGCCACAGATCTCCCCCAACAGATGAGGAAACTCAAAGTGGGTAAGATATAGGTCACACAATACAGGCTGACAACCCACCCCCCAGCAGATGAGGAAACTGATAGTGGCTTAAACATTGATTGTTTGTGTATTTTTATCATCAAGGGAAATGACTTGTTGGGTATCACTAGATCACACAATGCAAATGAGAGAGATAAATGAAAGTAGGAATGACTGATCACATACTATAAATTTTAACAGATTGTTTCTATAAAGTGAAAAAATACAAAGCATGGAAACTTCTTAACTCATACTAACAAAACATGAAGAGTAAATGATTTTAAAGATTTTATGGTTTTAATCAAAAGAGAATGAAGATGCCAGGTGTAAGACCTGAAATCCACAGTCATCAAATCTTCTCGTGATTATTTCATACAATTTTTTTTTTTCATTCCAGAAAATGGTCGGGTGAAATTTCATGTTGAACATGAATTTGAGGTAAGATTTTGTCCCTTGGACATGTTGGATAATTTATTTTTGTCTGAATTTGTCTATTACACTGTTAGACTTGATGAAATATGGACTTTTCATTAATTGTTGTTGCAAAATTCAAATACATGTATAGACTTTACACTTAAAATTTATTGCAAAATTGAGAGAAAAAATTGATGTCATATACTGTTCATATAAATAGTATCTGTAAACATGACATAATTTTCCAGGCCACGCTGACCTTGATGGGGGACAGTCCTAAGATTCCGTGGAGATTACTGGACATCAGTCTACTGGTGGAGGATCCAGAAACTGGGGGTGTGTAACTGTATAGCTATTCTCATGTAAAGTAATCATTTCAAGGCCTTTCATTTCTGTCTTTTACCTATTTCAATACACTGTACGTGTAATAAATTATGGTTGTCAAATTGGGTAAAAAAAAAAAGATTAACGATTTTCATATAAATTCATTTCCATTTAATATTACATTAAACTAAAAAAAAAGACGTACATGTATGTAAAAGATTTGATATTATTTGTATGTTTTTACTTGAGTTAAAATTTGGCATAATTTTTTTTTACACAAGGAGCTTAGCTACCTGTAATAAATGCTAAACTCTAATCTACAAGTCTGCAGATGCTGTCAAGTTTATCAATGGTCACTGTGGCCTTCTGTTACAGATGGGAAATCCCTGGTGCACTCTCTACAGATTAACTACATACATCAACTGGTCCAGTCACGCCTGATGGACAATGAACGACCTCTACACGACCTCTACAGAGTCCTACGTATCCTCTGATTGGACAATTCAAATCTAATGATGTCATAAATAGTTCTTTTATTTATTCCAATGAATTGGAGTAGTAGAAAAAATGACAAAATGATTTGTCATTCTTAATCAGACTGGTTAAGAATATTTTGAAATACCTGTAAATGCATGTTTAAAGAGATATTTAAGTTACAGCAAAAAAAAAAAAATCAATATTGTTTTTTTGTAAAATTAATAATGTGTGTTTTTGGCCTAAGCTTGTTAAGTGTTTGAAAAACAGAAAAAGCATTGCAAACACTGTTTTCGATTAGGCTTGTTTAACCTTGCTCAGATTATTGTTTACAAATGAGGATTATGTGTTTAATTTTTTTGTTGATTCTTAACTTCTATAGATACCTTCTGTCTTTCCTTACAACTTGAGGTCCTACATTCTCAGGTAAAAGTTCTCATCATCACTGATAAGACGAGAAATCTCTGGAGAAAAATTTCCCTTGATATACTTGCTGTTCATTTATTTGTATGATATATGTAGGAATTATTTTGTACACTGTGTATGCAATTTGGGAGGGAAAAAATATTAATATGATGAATTTTGCTTGAGCTTCAGTAACATTCTATCCTAGCTAGTTAAGAGTCTTATTTCATCATCATTTTCGTTTAAATATTAGATCTAATTTGAAATGTAAAACATTTCAATATCAAATTAGTGCAGTTTCTTAAAGAAATTTTGAATTATTTGTTCCAGACACAGAGGTTGATCAAGGACCGGATGGGAGATAGTATATGTGTAGAGAAATACGACATCGGGAAATGTTTGTCTGTGTCCTACTGGAGGTAAGGAATGGTTTCATGGCAGGCCTCACTTTTGTTAGCCCACCTGAGCCGAAGGCTCAAGTGAGGTTTTCTGATCAAAATTTGTCCGTTGTCTGTCATTGTTGTTGTCGTCGTAGTCGTTGTCATTGTAAACTTTTCACATTTTCATCTTCTTCTCAAGAACCACTGGGCCAATTTTAACCAAACTTGCCACAAAGTATCTTTAGATGAAGGGGATTCAAGTTTGTTCAAATGAAGGGCCACGTCCTTTTCCAAGGGGAGATAATCATGAATTTGTTAAAAATTAATGCCATTTTTAAAAAATCTTCTTCTCCAGAACCGCTGGGCCAGGAAAAATGAAACTCATGTGAAAGCATCCTTAGGTAGTGTAGATTCAAGTTTGTTCAAATCATGACCCACGGGACAAGGGTGGGGCCAAAATGGCCGACCCAAGTTTTATATATAGGAATATATAGGAAAAATCTTTAAAAATCTTCTCCAGAACCACTGGGCCAGGAAAGATGAAACTCATGTGGAATCATCCTCAGGTAGTGTAGATTCAAGTTTGTTCAAATCATGACCCCCGGGGCAAGGGTGGGGCCAAAATGGCCGACCATAGGAAAAATCTTAAAAAATCTTCTTCCCCACAGCCACTGGGCCAGGAAAGATGAAACTCATGTGGAGTCATCCTCAGGTAGTGTAGATTCAAGTTTGTTCAAATCATGACCCCCGGGGCAAGGGTGGGGCCAAAATGGCCGACCATAGGAAAAATCTTAAAAAATCTTCTTCCCCACAGCCACTGGGCCAGGAAAGATGAAACTCATGTGGAGTCATCCTCAGGTAGTGTAGATTCAAGTTTGTTCAAATCATGACCCCCGGGGCAAGGGTGGGGCCAAAATGGCCAACCCAAGTTTTACGTAGGAATATATAGGAAATATCTTTAAAAATCCTTCTCCAGAACCACTGGGCCAGGAAAGATGAAACTCATGTGGAATCATCCTCAGGTAGTGTAGATTCAAGTTTGGGCAAATCATGAGCCCCAGGGCTAGGGTGGGGCCAAAATGGCCGACTCAAGTTTTACATAGGGATATATGGGGAAACCTTTTAAAATACTTCAAAGCTATGATTAGTGATATTTATATGGAATCATCCTCAGGTAGTGTAGATTTTAGTTTGTTCAAATGATGAACGCCTGGAGGGAGGGGGGGGGGGTGTAAATTCAAGCCTGATGTGCTCAGGTGAGCGCTGTGGCCCCTGGGCCTCTTGTTTTGAAGTACATGTATTGTCCCAGACAATAGATACTTGTCATTTGAGTAACTAAATTTTAAATAATTCATTGTTCAATAATTTGTTGATTTTGTTTACAGGGATCCAACCAGAAGAGAGAAATCACAGGAGGCTTTGTGTGAGTTTATTGTTTATGTTTCCATAGCAACCACATTGCCTTAATTTACTAAAACTCTATAATTTTTTTTTTCTGCAAGTGAGACGAACCTTTTAAAATTTTAAAGTCAATTAAAGTTCAGTTCCTTAATTAAAAGTCTAATATTTGATTTATTTTGAAAATAAAGAATTTAGAGAAAAAAACTGATGCAGATTTCTCAAAAAATACCTACACCTTACTAAAGCACTGAAATGTGTTATATAATCAGTTACAGGATTATTGAAGCAGCCATTCTGCTTGATGTATTCATGTATTTCGCATTAGTTGAACCACATTTTATCGTTTTTCAAATGGCAGTGTTCCGGTTGAGTGTAAACATTTAGAACATACCTCATTGTTTGCTCTACAGTGTTCCGGCTGAGTGTACACGTGGCGGAGGATGACGACGGGCGGCCCCTCCAGATCAGTCACTTCCCCTCCATGTCTGTAGAAGAGAGCTCCAGGGTGGGGCTGGCCATCAAGAGCAACCACCTGTCAATGGAGAGACTGCTGATACAGACCATAGAGGTCCGAGGGCTCGTCAAGTTAAAGGTAGGTACTACATACAGACCATAGAAGTCCGCGGGCTAGTCAAGTTAAAGGTAGGAATTATAACATACAGACCATAGAGGTCCGGGGGCTTGTCAAATTAAAGGTGAGCAAATATGTAGTATAAAGTTGTCTTTACAAGACTATCACAAAAAATTGTTGAAGCAAGTTTGAAGTCCCAAATTTTTCATAAGATTTTGTACTTCATCAAAATCTTAAATCCCTGAAATTTTCTCTGTTCTTTTCTTTGCTCTGTCCATTTAGAGATAAAAAAGATTGGAACATAATGAAATTAAAGGCAATTTTTTTTTATTCTTGGTAAAACAGTGTAAAATTACCAGGGTTAAAGCAGCCTACTTATACTGTCTCATTAATCCCCTGCTGACACATTATATCTGATTTCCTTCACAGGACCTGGCGAAGGATTTACAGAAGTTCACAGAAGGAGCTTGTAAGTAAATAATGCTTCAGTCTCCTGAATTGTACATATGGGTGATTTAACGAAATAGTACTTTAAAGTTTGTGAATAGGCCCCATATTTCTGCCTGTTTGTTTTATAGGTGAGATTCGTGACCTGCCTAATGCCCTACACGTCCCCCTACTAGAGCCCTCCATGGAGTCTGAAAAGCTGAGGGTGATGGTGGACTGTCAGCGGGGAAACCTACTGGCCTCTATACCCGCCGCTAAAGGTAAAAGATTCTAGTATGTGAAATGGCATTCTAAGAGTGAAGATTAATCAGGGACACCCAGGTGGTGGTATAATTGTGTAAAGGTAAAAGATTATAGTTCATGTATGTATAGCCAGTAAACTGACATTCCACGAGTAAAGATATAAATCTTGTTAATTGTTGGCTATTTAGTTTGTTAAAAACAAAAATTTTAAAAAAACACCCCAGAATGCAACTATGATAAAAACAATCTGTAAATAAGTGGAATTGAAGCATGCACTGGGGGGTTAAATATTTTTATATTATTAATGTTATCATCATTCTCAGGACATTGAAATACATGTACTTTCTACAATTTATAAAGATGCACAAATCTCATTCATTTCTGTTTTACAATTAATCTTATACAGTGAACACATCTAAGTAGTGTACTGTTATTGTTATTTTATTTGGTAGATGTACAAGAGGTAGAAGATTTAGAGGATGCTTTAAATGGAGACAGGAAAAGTTTGGACAGACTCATTAGAAATCTGAGGTAAATGTCCCTATCTAGTCAAGGGATTCTCCCGAATTATTGTAATTATAGCTGTTGCTTTTAAGAGAGGCTAAATGCCACATACTCCCTGTATGTTCCATAGTAAGTAGAGATCTATTTTTAACTAAGTAAATTGAAATAAATTTTCATGATAAGAAATCTTCTTGTAGGTGCATACTGTCTTATTCCACTTAGATTTTATGTAATTTTTAAGTTCTTTATTAATTAACATAGCTGATCTTGCAGATTACGTTTGTGTGTGATGAGGTGTGAGAAGTCGGCCCAGTACCTGCCCACCACCTGTCAGAAGCACCTGTCATTCATCAATCTGACCAATCACCCGCTAGAAAAAATCAGCAAGTCCCGCCTCTACATCAGAGTGCCAAAGCAGTCCACATTTTATCTAGTAAAACATTACTATCAAAGGATTCAATGGAATAAAAGCCAAAAGTTTTCCCAATCATTTCTTTAATAATCTTAAATTGTCCTCTGCTACTAAACCTTTTCTCCAGAGAAAGTGTGAATGAAGGGGAATAACTTTTGAAAACCATTTATGTGTTTTTGATCAATTTAAGAATTTAAAAAAGAAATTCCCAAAGGAGAGGGTGGATAATTTAGATTAGCTGCTTTTAAACCAGAAATATTTAAGGAGCGGTTGAATTTTTCAGGTGGTGGAGTTGCTAGAAGGAGACACCACGGTGAACTATAAATATTACCTGCTGGACACCACGCAGTGTACCGTGGACGGCTCGGAGATTGACATCAGTGACGATCCCTGCTCCAAGCTTTATCTGAAGGCTGGGAGACTTATACCACTGGACGTCTACTCCTTCATCCACGGACCATTCACCAAAATTTATGGTGTGTAAAGTTTATTATATACAAGATTCTTCATAAATTTTATGATGAATAGAAATTTATGGGTTTTTTGTTGACTAAAAAAAGTAAATTAAAGGTAAAAAGAAAGTTAAATAGATTTTGGTTCATTGTAAACTATTTTCAAAGCTGATAAAGATAAAATTCATTTGTCAGAAAAATTACAGTCCATTAAAGGTGCAAATACAGATATAAAAGGATATGAAAATGCTTTTTTATCATACATACAAATGTATCTGTATTGTAGATGAGCAAGAACAAAGTAATATTGAGAGCAAGAGAAGAAAGAGGAAGGTAGGGTTTATAAATGTATTCTATCCATGCTTAACTGTGACATGATAATCATATTTTTGAATTTAAATAATATCTGGTCTATTCTATCAAACACCTATTTGCATTAGGTAGAGCAGAGCATTTCTTTGAAAACAGACAAGTTACATTTATCTCGAAAGGGGCAGCTTTCATGCAGACCAATATAATTTTTTTTTATCTGCAATTAAAATTGTGTTGAGAATCTTGATAATATATCTTACAAACAATATTTTTAGATAATGCTTGGGGAGTTGAGAGAACCTCCTGTGAAGAAAACCAAAGGACACCCATATTTTAGTCCAGAGCTAGCGTACATCCTAGCCAGCTGTGAGGAGAGAATCCCACTCGTCAACTTAGGACTAGAGGTAAAATCTCATTATACACTTAATACGAAAAGATCCCACAATTCAAATTTTGACTAGAGATCTAACTAGTCATTGTAGGAGTACAGGTTAAATCCCACAAGTTAACTTAGGAGTAAAGGTAGGATTTTCTACTAGTCAACCAACATAAGATCTTTGGTTAATTTTGAATAAGAATTGAGATCCCTCAAGTCAATTTATAACAAAACAACTATGATATCTGGTCATAATTCAGAACTGGAGGTTAGATTCCTCTAGACATGTACTTGTAGGTCTTCAGATAAGATAGTTTTAGCACACAGAATTCTAGAAAAAAGAACATTAGAACAATATTACGAAATAGCTTTGTACAGGCTGTATTATACTATTACTTTCCATATTTTATGATTTTTGACGTTTTTTGTTACAGTTTGAGAAGAATGGTGTAGTTCACACAGGTGTTCAAGCTGATTGTGAGGGAACCTGCTTTTGTCTCTCTCTCCTCAGGTACACTTACTGTATATGTACCGGTATACAGTGGACCTTCAGATATCCGGACGCCAGATATTCGGATGCTTCAGTATCCGGACAATTTTTCTTCAGAACGAAATTTTTATATGTTATTCTGTCTTGTTTAACTAGTGATTCATATATCCGGATGCTTCACATATCCGGACAAATTGACTGGGAACCAAAGCATCCGGATAAATGAGGGTCCACTGTACTTACATGACCAAGTGTCAACATCTATCATTTATGTGCACCAGTATTTGTTAGATAGATCACATATTTGAAGTTCTGTGAACTTTTCAGCATGCCTGATGTGGAAGGTTTGGGAGAGGGAATGTGTGATATGGTGAAAAAAGTGCTACTGTCAATCAAAGTCAGGATCCTTAGTAAACCAATGAGAAACTGGATTGTAGAGGTGAAAAAAAAATTAATCAGAAACAAGCTTTCATAGACTAACTCACCCAATGGGAAACAAGATTGTATAGGAAAAGCAGCTAGTAAGATGTTGAGTTGGGGAAGAAAAATGATGAATTGATCCAAGCAAGATAATAGAAATGCCTTGTCAATAAATAAAAATTGAAAAACAACAAAAAGGAGTGTTGAAAAAAAAAAAGAAATGCAATTTACTCTCAGGGCTATTCCAGAAAAAAATGTATGGGAGGGTTGGACGGCACTTCATATATTTTTGTATGGGTAATGGGGACTGGGGCAATTAAATTTGCATGGGTGGTTGTCTTCATCCGATATATTTTTAGATGGGTGGTTGCACTTACCCTCACAAATAATCAATTGCAAAGACTTCCTTTTCATTTTGTATAAGCCAGTAAATATTGATACATGTATTTATTTAAAAAAAAAACGTCATAAACCGTTAAGAAGTGTGTTTACATCGAAAGTGAAAGTAGAATCGAACAACCCGGAAACAAGGGCAGATAATTATAAAAGCACATGGTGTAATGACAGTGGAGGATTGGGACACGATTTCTTTATGTTCTTGTGTTCTTTGTTGCTTCCAGCTCAAGTTTCACTCCAGCAAATTATTCAAACGTGATTACTTGGTTAATTAAATGATATTAGAAACAATCAGACAGATCGTTTGATTAAAACCGAAAGTAGAAAAAAACGTATCTGATAATAAACATTTTAGAGCATGACTGTGGAGTTTGCAAGTCAAATATTTTACTTGATACCAAATACGGTGTAAAATAATGTTTATATATAACAGGGTTTGCAATAATATACATGTATTATGTCAATACATACCAATCCTTAACCTGTTGAGTGTTACCTCGAATACATTTCAATTTTTAACCCGGCCATAACATACAAATGAATTTTAAAAATTTAAAAATATACTTCAGAAACAAGTGCCTGCACGGTTGTAAGGTGGGATTGAGATTTCATTTTTCTTTCACATCCCACTAAATAGACAATGCCCTTCATAACTACAAAACTTAAGTGCCCCCCCCCCCCCCCCAAAAAAAAAAAAAAAACCCAAAATAAACAGAAACCTATAGGCTATAGCAGGAACTCTGGACTTAACTAAAAAAAATAATAAGCTGATTGTAAAATCTTACAAAACTTTTGTTTCTGTAAAAATTTGCATAAAGATATCTTTTTAAATTGTTTTCAAAAAAGATTAAAACTAATTTTCAAAGTAATAAAAAATTAAAGTTTTGTGCATAATATTTAGATTTGCATCATATTTATTTTGTTTCTTTTTAATTGAGTCTATTGTTTGGATACATTCCAAAAGCAAACACTCATTTCAAGTTGCATAAAGTGCAAATGCTTGAAAAAAGTACCGGTACATAAAATTTTATTTTATATATACATGAAAATAACTTAAAACACATTTCTTGAAAAAATTGTTTTAAATTTAGATGGGTGGTTGTATTAAAGGCATTTTTAATTTGATGGGTGGTGGGGGAGAAAGCAATTAAAAATGTATGGGTGGTGGGGTAAAAATAAAAGTGCCTTCCACCCCCCCCCCCCCCCCATACATTTTTTTTCTGGAATAGCCCTCATATCAAATGTACATTTTTTTATTGTTTGTATATTCTTTTTTCAGTTTCTGTTCTCAAAGCCACCATTGGAAAGTTCAAACAGAAAGGAACAAGGTAAAATATACTCCTAGAATATATTATATACACTACTAAGTCAAAAACGTACTGACATTCCCATTTTTTACTGACAAACTTAGAAAATTACTGACATTGTGCTGTCGTTACTGTAAAACTTAGACAATTACTGACCTTTTTACTGCCGGTACTGATAAACTTAGAAAAGTGCTAACAATCTTAGTCGGTGCTGATAAACTTAGACAATTACTGACCCGTTTACTGTCCCTGCTGAAAAACTTAGACAAGTGCTGACATTTACTGATAATTACTGTCCCTATTGTTCTCGCTCTCGGGGAGGCTGCAGTGGTGTGAAATTGATTTTTTTTATTTTACTATAGATTATTATTTCATTTATTTGTTTTTTCATATAATTTTTAACTATGTCCAGATGATATCTTTAAAAAAAAAAAAGCTTCTTTGATCTATTTATACAAAATTGATTTGTAAAAAAAATATTTTCAAGAGAAGGGATAAAATTTCAATACCTTCAAAAAGATAAGCAATGTAAAACAAAATAAAAATCTTCCTTTAGTAGTGAGATATGAAATTTTACAGAGGTCTTTTCCTTTTTATAATAAAACAATGTTATTACTTGACATGCATTTTATAATATTTTCTTAATAAACATTGACTCCCTGACTTTCTTTAATGTTAATTTGAAGAATTAAACTGTTAGGTTAGATGTGTTTTGTTCAATTTTAATTCAATTTATTCAAATTAGTTTGAATAATTTCAATAAACTCATAGCGCGCGGTGAGGCCCTGGGTGTCCCCTTTTGAGGAAAGGCGTTTGTTATAGTTTTCATATTATGTAAAAATTTTAATGATGTGGAGGCCGCCCATATTTTTTTTGTGCAGTCAAACATACCCGAATCCAAGCATTTGCAAGAAGAAACCAAAATTAAAAGACAGTCGGAGGATTTAAATAAAAAAAAGACTTATTATTTGATTCATTGGGCAAGGGGGGGGGGGGGGCGGGGGGCTACGGGCCTGCATTGATCATTGATCCTTTGATATTCATTGATTTAGTTACTGTCCGCATTATTCTTTTAAAATAATGTACATCTTTTACCTGATTTTCGAATCTGGATTTTCTAGATCCCCACCTGGAAGTGTTATATTAATTCAAATAAATAAAAAACTATGACATTTTATATTATCATCTTTTGTCTATGCATACTCCTGAAACAAAACTTTGATAGAAATTTATTTGAATGTTCTTTTCAATTAGAGTGTCGGTAGACGTTCACATGAATCTAATTTCTTTCTGTCTTTTCAAATTGAAATGGGGGGGGGGGGGACGAACTAAATGAAGAACGATGAACACGTACTTATTTATTTTAATAAAGTAGAACACATAATTAATATCACCCTCTGGTTTTCTCGACCAATGTGATTAATTGGGGAATTAGCTGTGGCTGATGTGAAAAACTCACAATCACAGAATAGATCTAAAAAGACAGAATCAAATCTTTAGAATTTCAATGAACTTTATTATTAGAGACCAGATCGGAAAGATAGTTATAGATAAGTTTAAACTTTAGATTTAAACTTTTGATGTAACATTAATACTGCGTTTAAGTTTGTACTCCTTTTTATCTGTTTAGGTAAAAAAAAATTAATAAATTTAATAAACTTAATAAATCGGCGTTTCATAGCTTTGTTCGGTATTGAAACCAGTATCATGATTTTACAGTAACACTGTGCTTTTTATTCGAGTCGTTTACCTGGTATCCAGCCCAATTACATAATCATTCAACATACAATCGGAAACTCTGTGAAGCACCTGTGTGTAGAAGAAATCGCCTGAGGCGATCCGAGTGTGTACGGTAGCGGGTAAAGAAGACAATAGGTGTCACTGCAGCATTATACAGAAGAACACTCGCCAGATTTCACTGGAAGTTAGTTACGCAACATTACGGCGACAGGTAGACTCTTCTTCAAGACAGTTTGAATTTGAGAAATTCAACACCAACACATACGTAATACAAATATGCAATCTACAATCCTTCAACCTCTTCTTAGATTAAATAAATATTTTTTTTAATATACCGACGTAAGATAAAATTAACGATTAATGAAAAAGAAGATTGATGTCAAAACCAACCGGGGAAAGGCACAAATTGTTTAAAGATTTAAGCAGAAATAAATATATGAGAAGGGGTACATTACATCCAAAGTTTTGTAAAAATTACTGGTTCCTTATATTTTTTGTTAAGTCGTGTTAATGTGTGTGTGTGGGACAGTGGAGTGAGGAATTTGTTTGATTATTAATCAAATAAAAAAGTTCATAGTATATTTTCAATTAAAAAATCAAACACAATTTATATGCAGCAGTATTATGACAATAAAAAAAATCAGCCGGGGTTTAACTATACATGTATTTTAAACTTTGCCTGGGTCGATATTGATTTTTTGGAGAAAGAGAGAGAGAGAGAGAGAGAGAGATGAATGGTATCTCGTCACGGATGATAGTGGGAACCTACAGTTAGCGAATAATCTTAATCTTATGAAAAGGAAAGATGTTAATGAAACCTGAATCAAATAAATAACGATTACGGGACGGGTATAAATTGATCAAATGGACAAAGAAATTTGCATCATTCAAAAAACTTAAACATTTTTATAAATCGTATTCAAGTACCGGTATACTAGATTTTTTTCATGCAATGTGAGTGCATAGAAGGGGGGGGGGGGGTTATACATGTATGCTAGAGGGTTCGAAATAAATATTTGTGAGCACTGGTTCGACGGACTAATGACTTCCAATTTTCAATACTTCGTAAAATATTTTACTAGACAAGTCCGCATTCTGCCTTATTATTAGTATGTTAACATCACAACACCCTACGCCTACCTACTTTAATGAGATGAAATTTAATATCAGCACATAAAATTAAAATAATTCAAATTTACCGATAGCTACAGGGGGAAAATGGAAGGTACAAAACATGTAATATAATAATTATTTTTGTTAAAATTGATTCATGATTAAAAATACTTGAAGATTAAGTTTAAAAACTAAATAGTGATAATCCCCTCGGCAATGTGAATAAACGCAGCACTTCTCAAGTATTTAAGTAAGTTAAAGTGTCAATACTGTTTGTATCTTTAAGAGAGAGAGAGAGAGATAGAGAGAGAGAGGGAGGGAGAGAGAGAAGAAAAATATTTGAGAATGGTGCTACTGCTAATTACCGCTGACCTAGTAAATATAAATATTTTCCGTAAGATTTCTATAACTGCTAGTACATAAATTTTTATTACTAGTCTGATAATTATTTATTAGTGTCGGACTTACAGACATTGGGTACTTATGAACCCTGCGTAATCGATCAACCAACCATTCATTTAGATATAATGTTTTCAGTAACAAAATCGACAAGGCATAGTACAAGTTTATATATGGAACACTGTACTGTTCAATAAGGGAACTCCCGTATGAGCAAATGGACACCGGAAATCTTAAACAGGGGTATATAATTATATGACTTGTACAGATGTCCGAGAACATTAGGAAACTAAATTACCTAATAAAGATCAGTAATTATTCAATATTTAGAAGATTTCCTTTTTTAACAAGAGAAATCTGTCCTGTTTGTGAAAAGAAAATTGATACGACTAGCTTTCCGATCGTGAAAACAAGGGGGGGGGTCTCAACATTAAAGTCAGATATCTGTCTGCAAAGAAATAAATAGATGAAAACTAACTTGATGATTAATTAATTTTAATACTTTAATTAAACAGGGATAGATATATTCAACACATAAATTTAAACTTGATTTACTCATAGTTAATTTCAAATCATATTCTGAATTATTTTACAGATGTCAATAATATTTAGATTAAAAAAATGATAACTGCCTGGGATTTTTTTTTTCATCAAAAATTAAAATAAGACTGTTTTTAATTTATGCAAAGTATAACACACAGTCATTTTCACACCATTGCAGCCTCCCCGAGAGCGAGAACAATAGGGACAGTAATTATCTGTAAATGTCAGCACTTGTCTAAGTTTTTCAGCAGGGACAGTAAACGGGTCAGTAATTGTCTAAGTTTATCAGCACCGACTAAGATTGTCAGCACTTTTCTAAGTTTATCAGTACCAGCAGTGAAAAGGTCAGTAATTGTCTAAGTTTTACAGTAACGACAGCACAATGTCAGTAATTTTCTAAGTTTGTCAGTAAAAAATGGGAATGTCAGTACGTTTCTGACTTAGTAGTGATACATGTAGCAATTTTATACTAATCAAGGATATAATTTATTAATAGAAAAGACTCAAGAAACTACATACAGAATTTGAATGACTACTTTTGGCAGGTCCTGTACAGAGAGTTCACATCATGATGGAGCTAAATATAGATAACCTGAAGAAAGTGGTCAAGGACATCCTGGATGAGTGGGCAGGCATCTGTCACCTGTATAGTATTGTTCACGACTTTGCAGAAATGTACACAGGTATGTGACTATGTGTTTTCTTGGAATAAGTATTAGACAAAATTATTAGAGAATTCAATCACCAGTGATTTTGCAATCGAGATGTGATTTTTGAAGTACAGTGGACCCTCATTTATCCGGACGCTTTGGTTCCCAGTCTATTTGTCCGGATATGTGAAGCATCCGGATATCTGAATCACCAGTTAAACAAGACAAAATAGACTTTAAAAAATTCGTTCCCATGAAAAATCGTCCGGATGCTGGAGCATCCGGATATCTGGCAACCGGATATCTGAAGGTCCACTGTATCACAATTAATGATGGAATGTGTAGTTCTTCTTTATAAAGTTTGCTTTATTTAATATGATTACTATATTAAATATCACATCACTTTATTTCAGATGTGAGGACAGAGCTTGGATCAACAGTAGACATATATTCCTATGATTATCGTAAACTGTCAATGTTATACGGACCTAACAGAACTAGTCTGGTAAATAGTCTTACAGTAAAAACTTCAATCATAATGTAAATCTTGATTTCGAATAACTTGTTAAACTTTTGTAATAAATATACACAACTGAACCCTTTTTAACTTTTTAACATATTAAAAAGCTTGAAACAAGGATTTCTTTATCATCTAGATTGTGACTATGTATTTGTTCCAATTGTTTACAATTTGTATTTGTAGATAAACATACAGTGGAAGGGTGATGCCAAGCAGTTTAATGTGACCCTGGGGACTGTGGGTAGTTCTACGACAGTCAATCCACACACCATACTTCTCTCTCAGTTCCAGCGGGAGCTCAACCACACTCGCTCACTGGCACAGATATGTCAGGTAAGACACCCTGGCCCCCATGCCTCTGAGCAAACACTTTTTATCTCACCCATTCCACAGGTGCACACAATCACCACATCATAAAGACTGATACTTTCTACTGACATATGAAAATCTCACTACTTCAGTGGCTCAACCTTTTTTCTCTCACTCTGACTCATACTTCGGTGACTAATATCATTTTAGTCCATATATACACAGCACTTGAGGAAGGAACACACAATGTTCACAAGGACAAGCTCCTGACGCATAAAGTCTTCAGCCCTCAAACTCACATTATTTGTTAGAATCATTCAGCTACCACAATATGTCAAATAATATCCATCTATTACTACCCAGCCCACTTCTTCACAGTCACTAACAAATACATCAAAGTAAAGAGTAACCTGACTTATTTCTACATACCTGTACCTGTAGGTTCTCCATGAGACGTGGGCCCCGATGTCCTCCATTAACAAACTGAGTATGTCCCTGGTACAGGCTGCTGCTACCGTAAGTTATAAAACAATGTAGCTTCTAATAAATTGTAGATCAGACATCATTCAGCCTGTTACTTTTAACAAACTTTTCCAGTATATTCATTTCTTCTGGTTTAAGTCACTAAGCTTTCTAAATTATTATAACTGTATACTGATCCATAAGAAACTCTCAAACATGCAAATCTTTGTTTTTATTTAACAGAACGTGAAGCAGCCAATGCAGAGTTTTACAGTGATTCCACAGTCTACTACCCATGTACGAATAGCATTCAGGAATATGTATCCTTATGTTCACATGTCATGTACACCCAGGCAACGATTTAATGCATTTCATATCACTGTAGATATAATGTGAAGTTGTCTGTGCAAAAATCATAGATGTTTTAATGTAAACTTAATTTTCTGTTCTAGGATACGTATCTTTTTTGCTGCATTTTTTTTAATTTTCATGAAATCCAATGCTCTTTTGTTATCATTTCTTTAACACCTGTCAGATCATGTATTGATGTCCATTTCCGTAGTAACAAGATTGTTTCCGTTAGAGACGGGGCATACAGTTTGTTTGACAACAGCAAGGCTGTGGATGGATTCAGTCCCACATCTATGTTCAAGGTCAGTTGTCTATGTTCAAGGTCAGTCATCTATTGTCAAGGTCAGCCATCTTTGTTCAAGATCAGTTGTCTATGGTCAAGTTCAAGAACATTTACCTTTAAACATGAGTGTTAAATAAGAATCCCCAAGATTTAATAAGTGATTGTCTGCTGTGTGAATTATTTAGTGAACTGTATTGAATATCTGCTTAATATTTGATTAGACCGAAGGTAACCTAATTCTCATGTCTTCATGAATTGTATAATTTGAAATGAGAGTTAATTAAAAATAAAATTTATTCTTTGTATGTAATGTTTTGAACCATTTAAAACACACTTTGATTATACATCTTTTATTAATGTATTTTTCAGCATTTCCTGAACAAGTACGTGGATGATGCTATAACAGGCAGACACACCCACCGCATGTCCACTACAGAGGACGACAATCCACCCTCCCCCATGGACTCTATAGACATCTTCAGTCTCTCCTCCCAGCCCCCCTCTACTGGCTCCCCGGCATCTAGACAGAGGGAGACAGGCCTCAGGTTCCCCATGACCCCACCCTCCAACCCCCACACACCAGCCTCACCCAGTGCTGCCCGGATATCAGGGGTAAGTGATCTAAACTTTTGTAAGATTGTATTCATGGGAACAGATATGAGGATTTACTATAAATGTGAAAACCATGACAAAGTTGAAAATTGACAAAGGTAAAATTGTGAAAATTTTCTATTATCATGATAAATTTCACAGACTTCTTTAGCAGCACTGTTATATTCTACAAATTAAAGCATCAAAGTTTCACCCGTCGTATTTCAAAGTATCAAAATCCTCAAACTTTCGACACTTTGATAAAACCTTTTTTGTAAATGCTTGAGAACTTGCTAGTACATGTAGAAACATTTTAATTCTAGAATTCAATATGTATTTACCAAGCGATTTTTCTATGATTTAATTAAAAGGACTGTTTGTCTTTGTTACAGGTGACCCCTTCCCCCTCCACCGCTCTGATTGGCACCCCCTCCCCCAGTACCCTGCTCAATGTTGGGTCCCCGGGGAACCCTCAGCTCCACGTCCCCTCCCCAGGGTCCAGTGCTTTCGTCCCCGCCCCCTCCCCACAGTCCCTGGGGATACACATGCAGAGTCCAGCGTCAGGATTCATGGGACCACAAGGTAAGGACTGAATGATTTTATACTTAGGTGTTTATCACATGTATTTTACTTACTTGAAGGTACTCCTAATAAACTCTATATTTTTATACATTTTTGCAAGAATTTGAAGTAACATCTTAATGTATATTCTCAGAGGGTGAAGATAAAATTTATTGAAGTAAAGAACATGATAATCTGTGTTAAGTGTTGATGTGATTATCTCTATTAGGTTTAGATGTACGGTCACCTTTCACCAGTGCTAGTCTTATGTAACAGTTACTATACGATATGATTATCTGTGTCAGGTTTAGATGTGGGGTCGCCTTTCACCAGTGCTAGTCTTGCCATGCCGTCCCCAGTACAGAGGAACTGGCCTAACTCGCCCTCAGTATCTGGCCCCTCCCCTGCCTCTAGACACACCGCCCACTCCCCGGGAAACCCCGCACTACACTCCCCCCAGACACAGGTCAAGGACGGCGATCACAGCAAGTCAACAGGTGAGAGTTTAATTCAAATTTACAGGTAAGGTATCATATAGGTCACAGTTTCTAAGTTTTGCAGCAGTAAATCTACAGGGATGACATCATAGCATATCTACATGTAAGATATAAAATGTCACAGGTCGGTAAGATGTCAAGGTCACAAGAATCAACTAGGTATGGTATATGTCTACAGGAAATATCAGAGACCATAGAAAATCTACAGGACGGGTCTTGGCAAGAATATGTGTTTTAGTGTATCAGGTTATAGAGAACAGAGGACAGAAAGTGGTCTTAATTAAATGCAGAGAGCAACAGTGCTACAAAATCAAATTATAATATTTTCTTTGTTAATATCATTTGAAAATATAACATGTACTAATAATTTGTTGTTGTTATTTAAATCATAAATAACAAAAATAAAGATAGGAATACTCACATGTAATACAGAAAAAATAAAAGTGATTGCTGCTAAAAATTATTTTACTTTTTAATATGGAATATTTTCAGAGTTTCTCCCTAAACATTTGGGGAATTTTAGAGATGAGATTAATTCTTGTAAGTTTGTAAAACTAAAATCTTTGACATTGAGATTAATTTTAAAGCTGCATCAAACCTTTAATTCTCAATATGGCTTGGTAAAAGGCATTCTCTTCTCAGATTTCTGAATATCAACTAGAAGCTACTGTAACACTAATCAAACTCAGACTTTTGTTTCTTGTATATAACTTTAAAAGTCTTGTGAACATGGTTAGAAACTTTGGTCATATCTTACCATTAAGTTCTGAAGTGAAAAAATTGCATGTACATGTATACAAAACCTACTTTCAGACTTTCTACAATAAATCTGGGTTTCATTTTTCCTTCAGTGCATTTAATTTGCCATGTAAATGCAATTGCATTACAATTGTAATTTCTAATTAAATCAATTTCAGTTTTTGAATTTAAAATATGATTGCATATAATTATCATCATTAATTAAACATGTAACTGTTCCTTTACAGTGCTGAGTCACACCACCAGAATGCTTCCACAGCGAGCCTGGGCTGCGTCCATCCCCACCCTGCTATCCCATGATGCCTTTGACACCCTCTTGACCCCCAACAGATCTCAGTCCCTCCCCTACACTATATCGTCCTCCCCCCTGGAGAGGTTCCTGGGGAGTGTGTACTTAAGGAGGAATCTCCCCAGGCTGATCCAGTCTGAATCCGTAAGTCAGCAGAAATAGGGCTACAGATTCTGAGTAATACACACTAATGTTGATTTCACTCCATAAAAGGGAATAAGAAGAAAATATACATGTCATACATTTGACAGTCCTATGATATAGCTAGGTTTATTATTCTATAAATTGATACTGATTTTACTGCACCAGGTATATATTAAGTGTATATGCTTCATTTATTTGTATGGTAGTGCTACTTTGGCCACATGAGCTTTAAGCTGGTTTATATTCCCTCCATGGTTCATGTCATGTGTGTTGTTGTTCCATTAATTCTGTAAGATGATCTTTTTACAGCTGACCCCGATGCGCTCTACTGATCCCAACATAATCTCATTTAAAGTAGAGACATTACAGTTCCATGTCAGCTTTAGTAACAACCTACAGAGTCTTCATATGAATGTTCAGTCAGTACCAGGTAATATCATCTTATCTGACAAGGGGCCCATTTAGTGCAAGGACTTGTTTTTTTCCTGCCATTTATTTATGATCTCAGCCCCTTGAGCTTCATATATGAGAATTCCTCTTGTTATTTTGAAACATCTTGGAGCCAAGTTAAAGTGCTATTAAATATTCGTTTTTATTTGTTTATTATACTGCATTATTTCTCACAGCTGACCTTAATTTTTTTTTAGAACATCGAGATCAGTGGAGTATGGAAGTCCTTAACATCATCCAGCAGTACTTTGATTCCAAGGTACAATAAATACATCATACTGATATCAGTTTGTGATATATCCTGATTCAGTTCATAGTTTAACTTACATGTATCTCACTGAGTTTGGCTGTTTATCAAAATATATTTATGAAACACATTAGATGAAAGTGATTGTAATAAGTACCTGACCGTGTCAGCTACCTTGATTGTCTGTCAATTTTTTGAGCAATGGATCTTTAACTATTTTGCTTGTTTCTGTCCAGGTTGCCTGTCCTCCGTACAAAGTGAACGCCCTGAGAGCCTTCTGTAGAATACTGGAGACCCCCATCAGAATCCTCAAAGACTGTGTTCAACTCATGAGACTGGAACTGGTATTATGATGTTTTCTGTTTTGAAAAGTCAGAAAAATTAACTTAGTTTCATAAGTCAATAATATCACTACATCAGTCGTAGAAGTCTATTTTATTTTTACTGTTGTAGATGGGTCCTAACCAGTCCAGTGGTATGAAGTGGTCCATGCAGTGGTGTCTAACTGTACCACCACAGGCGGCGTTTGTGGCTCCAGCAGGGACCGCCGCAGTAGCCAAGAACAAACAGATCAAGATGTTACTCATGGTAAGTTAAGAGAATGTTTCAGAATGTTATAGAAATGAGTTCCTGTCTGTCCAATGGAACTCTTCATTAATATACTTTTTGAAAGATTATTCTCTTTAATAAACCTGAAATGATTTGATATTGCTTGTTGTATTACTCTAAGTTCTCAAAATATATAAAATCCAGCAAGAGGAGTGACTCACAATTTAAAATTATAACTACTGTAAATCACTTCTTATTCGAGAGAACTTCATTTTCGCGTAATTACGCAAGACAATGTGCTCGCAAAAATTAAATTCTTGCATATAATAGTATTCCTTAAGATTATATAGGGCAAAAACCGAAATTCGTGAAAATTTTGTCTTGCTAATCAAGAGACAATGACTATCTCGCGAAAATAAGGTGTTGTGAAAATTTAGAGATCTTCAGTAATTAAAACTGTAATTGTAATATTTTTAGATCCAGTTCACCCGTATCCAGCCCCCGTCTGGCCAGGAGCCCCAGTCTATCATCGTCCCCCTCCTGTATGACATCAGCGCCAACACCATACAACACATGGACCCCGTCAGGGGGCAGCCCCAGACCCCCGCTTACATGGCCGTGTCACAGCTCCTACAGAACTTCTACCACGCACAGAGTGCTGAGTGTATACTGTACCCCGCGGTACAGCACATCATGACTAATCTTAATCTATAACACAGACATCATACAATGTCACAGCTCCTACAGAACTTCTACCACGCACAGAGTGCAGAGTGTATACTGTACCCCGCGGTACAGCACATCATGACTAATCTTAATCTATAACACATTAAACAATGTCACAGCTCCTACAGAACTTCTACCATGCACAGAGTGCTGAGTGTATACTGTACCCCACAGTACAACAAATTATGACAAATCTGATCGTATAGTGCAGGGCTTTATAAGCCTTACATACATAAAATTTCACAGATTCTAGAAAACTTCTTACTTGCTTAGAGTGCTAAGTGAAGGCTGTTCCCTGCTGTATTAATGAAACAAATCTTATAACAAAGGCACAATGGCTAGTCTTTAATAGCTTCAATTAAAGCTATCGGTTATCCAGGACAACAATGTTATTGTTTTTCTTTAATGTTCCACAGAGTGTACAATAGTCAAGCAATAAAAAGAGTTATGGTTATGTAATCACAGCTGCATTAAATTATCCTGCTTATTTAAAAACACAATTCGTATAGTGCTGCCATAAGGCTATGTAAAGATCTGTATTTTTCTATGGATGTGATTTATAAACTAGTAATCTGTTACGTTTTCGTGAATTAACTGTTAAGCTGTTTTATTTGCAAGGAACATTAAATGTACAAAGCATTTGATCAAAAGTGAAATAAGACTCAGTCTGATAATTTGATAAGACTCTATTTCTCTTATATTTTAATGATAGGATTGAAATTTTTGGAGGATGTGAACTAAAAAATATATGATGATGTACATTAATTGTACTAATTGTTTGAATAAAAAATATACTGATGCTTATAGCTGTCCATTTATTGCTTTACTCATGTTTTATTAAAAAATAAATATGTAAAGTTAAAATTATTTTTTTTAACCATATGGGACTAATTTTCTACCCACAGATTGAACAGAAATTTTGTTTCTGCAGAATAGTGACCCAGTAGGAAAGTAGGTTTATAGTTTACATCCTTGGTGGAATAGCCAGCTTGAGTGAGCTGTAAGGAGTTGGTCCTTACATGGCGAGTTTGAATCCTGCTGTGGGACGTGGAGACTGGTCATTTGAATAAGATCATATAAACAGAGTTCACATGTCGCAGTAGGTGCTGACATGAAAAAGATCCCTCCCTGCTTAATGGTAAAACACAATTGTCAATGTGTTTGAATTAAAAGACTTTTGTAGGTTTATAGTTTTATTGTAAAGTAACAGCAAAAACAATGGTGAATGAAAAGGTTGGCAGGGATGCTCACTCCTCCATGACACCTGATCCCACCCCTGATGTTTCGGAAGTCTGTGTTTGCTCTGCTCTTGTTTTGTATTGTTTTTTGGACCCTGAGATTGAATACTGTTCGTTATTTCCATATCTCGGAGCCAAGATTGTGAAAGCTATTGATACACAACTTTTTATGAGAGGAATCACATATTTGGTCGCAACAAATAGCTAATTGGAGAGTCACTGATATAGTCCGCCCCTCACGAAAGTTCTCTTCCCCATCTCCTTATAGGATACTACAATGTCCTTTATTTATGTGGACAACGGAAAACTTGCACATTCCTTAGTAAATTAGATCGGTGCATCATCCTCAACAGTCTGATAGGAGAGTGTCAAAGTTGGTGAACAACGTATCATAAAAACAAATTGTCCGTTAAGTGAAGACGTTTCCCTTATTATAATCAACCCTGTAGAGTTTGTAAACAAATTCATAATTAAGGATATAAATGGTCGTTGCTCTATATACTACTAATATCAATTATTATTCCATCAATATTACACTGAACAAAATTTATACATCAATAAAGATTATAATTTATTTGCTTATTAAGTTACAATGGCCCTGAGCGCCGAGTATAGGATAACAATTTGCAGCTATCTACCGGAAAGTCTCCATATGAGTGACGAATTCTTCAGACCGACGTTAGGGTCAAGATCTAGTAAATGTCTTTAGACTAACTTTTTGGTGCTAAATCCATTATGACGTCATAATCACTTTCAACTTTCTTTTTCCCGTACTTTACGGCTCTTATAGAATTATGTAGAAAATAAAGTATTTTCAGGGAATTCAATTTGAAATTACATGAAAAAATGTCCCGATACCTATATTAAAATTGACATTATTCTAAAGAAGAGGCCAAGAACATACAAATTACCGTTTTCTGAGAGACTGTAGGCTATCTGGATACATTGTCTTTGATATGGGAAAAAGTCCCATATTCGTGACGGGAATTCTTAATTTTCCATTGAAAATGACAGTTTAAATCATGATTTTTCATCTTGTTTACCTAAAAATTATGCCCCGAAACACCCCATTTGAACAAGCTTAACTTATAAGGCATCATCAAAGGAATTGGCGTCGGTAGTCTAGTGGTTAAGGTGCCGGACTCCAAACCTAAAGGTTGTGAGTTCGAATCCTGGCCACGGCAAGTCGACGTTGTGTCCTTGGGAAAGGCACTTAACACGAATTTCCTCACTCCACCCAAGTGTAAAAGGGGTACCTGGCTATAGACAGTGAAAGATATTGTCAGACTGTTAGTGTTCTAGCGCTGATAATGGCAGCTTGCACTGAGAAAGATTCTGGTTTGTTTAGGTCTGCTGGGGTAATAATGATTGTAAAGCGCTTTGAGTAGCATTTATGCTAGAAAAGCGCTATATAAATCCAATCATTATTATTATTATAATTTATTTCTAAAATTTGAAGAATCTGTTGGCACCTTTTAATTACTAGATCTTGACCTTAAACAATATACAATCAATCAATCAAATTGAGTGCAAATAACAGCTTTTTTAATTACTATTACCATAAGTCTTTGAAATAAACCTTAACTATCAAGACTAGCAGGAAGAAAGAGCTTCTGTTATGCATAAAAAATTGTTACTCACATGATTTCTGCTGTATTTTAAAAACGATGATTTTTTCAAAGTTCTGACACCACATGCATTCATAGAATATTTTTTGTAACCGCTTCATACCATAAATATTATTTTTATCTTGTGAAGCCTTAATTGGTTACAAAAAGTACCCCAAAAATACGTAAAGAGATGGTAACAGGGATGGGGTTATTGAAAAAAGTAATTGTAATTGAATGTAATAATTACATTTTTGGAAATAATTTGTAATTAAACATCTTTCTAATTACTTTAATTCAATTTAATTAATCACTCGGAAAAAATACCATGTAATTTCAATTATACTTTTTCAATTTCAGTCAATTACGGTACGTAATACATATTCATGATGTATTGTTCACTTCTGACTCCCCATTTTGCTGTCTTTTCGTTTATTTATACAACATATCCTCAAACCTTGAATAATACAAAATCTTAAGTTAATGTTTACAAGCAAATAAAGGATTGACTTAAGAATAATAATAATCTAGATTACGCCATTCAACTCTCATTAAAAAAAAAAAACAATTTGTACGTCAAGTGCGGTATTACGACTTAAGAACCCTCTCTACACTACACACTAAAGAGTTTTTATTCTAAGGTATTTTTCTGAAGTTAGAGTGATCTGCCCTTAGATCTAAATTCTAAAAAATTGAAATTTACAATACATCATTTAATTTGTAATTAATTTTAGTAATCTTAACATTTTAAAAAGCCAAGATAAATTAATTGAACATGTTATTTGCATGTATTTTCTCTATTGAAGTAATTAACAGTGATTTCTATTCAGTGATACTGTGTTGTGTTTGAACATTTTTCCCGGGGGTAAATGCCACGCACCATACATTGAAAATTACATAAATAACCTCAATATTAACTCCTTTATACAATATAATTTTCTCAAAGTCAAAAAAAAATTGGCACTTGTGTAGAAGGTCCTTAACAATGGAGATACATGTGTATTATTGCTCATCTATGACAGTTTTTGGGAAAATGAACAGTCTTACTATATAATTGGAAATTTTTTAAAGGATAATTTATTTTGAAATGCAAATATGAATGCAGATGATTAGAGCAGGTTGACCGTGTGAGAAGACAGAGCTTATGAAAATATTTTACATTTCTGGTACTTATCAAAATCATCTGTCCGGTAGATCACGATAGGTTGTATGTACTGGATTGATCCCTGTTCATTATCTTCGCCCAATAAATGTACTTCATAAGAATCCTTACCAACAAAGATAAATAGCAGGTTCCAGCAGATGTTCAACCAAACCTCTTTTTCACTCCTTACTTAGCTATTACATGTAACAACAGTGAAGGAGAAACTTCCAAAGTACTGTGCAACAATATATTCAAGAAATGGTGTGAATCAGATGTGGATACTTAATCACAATATTTTACAAAAATCAACAAATTAAAATCTTATGACTTTTCAGCTTGATCATTTCCCGACGATAAAGTAAAGTCCAGGCATTTTGATATTATTAACAACTGCCACTTTTTTTTTCAATAAAAATGGAGCTCGTAAATTTCCTTACTTGTCATTAGTCATTTGCAAAATTACTTTGTTAAGAACATTCAGCTTGTACACACAAGAACCCTGAAGTTGATAAAAAAGATGCTTGAGTTTCTGATTGACAATATCTAGGTGGTTTTTTAGAGACCAGGGCTTCCAAAAATCTATTGGAATTCCCATGGGTATCAACTGCGTACCGTTATTAGCAGACCTATTTTTATATATATTCATATGAAGCAGAATTTGTACAAAATCTTATGGGTGAAAAGGAAACACTTGCTGTGGCCTTCAACACATCAGTAAGCTATATCGACGATTCTCATTATAATGGATATTTTAATTGAAAAGACGTTAATGGTAATCTAAAAACCAAGGTCTATGATAAACGTGATGACTTTAAATTCTCTATCGTCAACTTCCCTTACTAATGCAGCAATATACATGTACCTTCATCAACTGAATACAGAATTTATATATCTCAGTTGACTCGATAGTCAAGTACTAATGTTCTAAAATGAAAGATTTCTAAAATGCGGTAAATTATTGACAAACAAGTTGATGAAACAAGAATATAAGCAATCTCATTTAAAGTCATGATTTTGAAAGTTCTATGGTCTATACAATGATCTTGTCAGCAAAATCAATTGAATATTGAATCAAATGCTGACTGATGTATTTCATACTAATTGTTAGTCAAATATTTATACACTGAATTGACAACGGATTTTCCCGTTATTTCCCGATCATGACAAGGAGCACAAAGCGTGTTTGACCGGTTGGGAGGGAATGCTCACTCCTCCATGGCACCTGATCCCACCTCTGATGTTTTGGAAGTTCGTGATTGTTCTGCTCATATATCATTTTGTTTGGGACTTCGATCTTGAATACTGTTCCTTATTTCTATATGTTTCACTCAAGTAATCATGTTGAGACTTTTGGATTGTAACCAAGATCAAAATTACCTTCACCATGAAAATTTTAAAAAGAAAAATTAAAATCTAGAAAATATTTCAGCTACACAATACTGGACAACACTCTTATTTGTATGATGTATTCAAAGCTGCATTATTAGACTTATTTTTTGGCACTTTGGTATACACTGTAATACTAGTACATTAGCATTTGTGTGTGCTGAAAATTTCAGTAAATGTTAATTTATCATATTTAAGTGCATGATTAATTTTTTTCATAAAATATAGACAAAAATAAAGATTTTATTATGCTTGAATGAGCACGGGGTATTTTCTTACGG